AGCGCTCCGCGATGTTCATCTCGCCTTAATCTGGGTCCGAATAAAACATCAGATCATGCACAGACTATACTGTCTCTTTGAATTTAAATCTATATTTATTCACACCGGCTCTTGAAAACCTCTATGCGAACACACTTGCCCGAAAAAGTGCGGGGGACGAATTTACGTGATATTAAAAGTGGGGGGGACACGTCCCCCACATCCCCTGCGTAATCTACGCCCCTGCCTCAGTCGTGGTATCAAAGGTGGGAGAGAGCGCTGTACATTCACTCCCCCCACCTACAATCCCTGCCGGTACGAGACTCGAACCCACAACCTTTGGGTTATGAGTCCAACTCTCTAACCATTAGGCCCTGCTTATAAGCTTGTTTATATGATATAAATACTGTAAGAAAAGCATCATATGATATATCACTGTAAGAAAAAAAATCCATAGAGAAGTTTACAGACATTTCCTGTAAATCTAAAACACAGCACAATTTAATGTGTAATCTAAAATACAGGGAAAGCACTTACAAAAAATAAGGACAATTCCTTCATATTAAGAGAACATTGTGTCAGACAGTTGCATTGTCTTCTGAAGAATGATTTGTAAACCTGCCAGCCTGAACCATATTTAGTGTCACCCTCAGGGTTTCTTGATCTTCACAGTATGTAAATCTATAACCTATTCTTCTGTTAAAGCTCTGTACCTGAGGCCACACTTAATAAGCCACCAGTGACATTAACTGCTAGTTCACTCCCGTATACACAGAGCTCATCGTAGACTGTTGCTATTCCAGCCATGCAGGTTTCATAAAGGGTTAAACCTATTCTTCTCTTTGTAGAAACAAAGCAAAAAGAGAAACCAGGTCTTGAGGGTGAAATCACAGAGATATGCCTGCCCTCTGTTCATAAGACATGTGATGCTAATGCAGGAAGCCCTCAATGAGCTCCATTGTGTGCTTTGAGATAGCGAACACCGTCTGCAACGGATGAAGCTGCTTGTGTGTGCTTGTGGTTGTGCCGTAACCTTTTTATATCTTGTCAGGAAAAATTGGCATGTCAGATGTCCAGATGATCACTTGATAATGCATGAATGAGAGGGGAAATTAAAAAATCCCCTCAAGGTTGCCAGAGATTAATGTCAAGAGCGAACCTTTCAGAGTCGTTTTCCGAAGAGCTCATTATAAGGAGTGTTTTATTAGTTAAACGCCTGCTGTAATCGTGGCTGATGGTTGTTTTAACACTTAAACCCACGTATAAAATCAACACTAGATGGCCTTTCAAAAAGATTTACCAGAGCAGTTTTATTATAAGACTTGAGGCAAAGTTTAGTCAAGTGTTTAAGGTCCTTGCACACTGAGTCCGAAATTTTCATATGGGTTTTTTCGTTGGTTTTGTATTCGTCATCCTTTTCTATCAAAATACTTGCTACGAATGCGAAAAAACAGAAAATTGAACCTGATCAGAATTTTTTTTTTTTATGAAGGACGAAAGTTTCAGAGGCAGTGTGTAAACATGATTAACACAACGCGAGGTCGTATTTATTTTTTAACGTGCGGAAATTTCTGACGAGATGTTTCGGACTCAGTATGCAAAGACCTTTAGTACGAAATAAATTTTCGTACTCAACAGCTTTTGAAACCAGTTCTGTTCTGGAGGACTCCCACATTAAAGCATATATGTGATCCTGTTAAATTGTATTTTATTTTATTTTTTCAAATAACATGTTAGATGAAAAAAACTAATTTTAAAAAATTTAAATTTTCATCTTTCAACGAAAATCAGACATTCCATTAAATACTAATACATTTTGATTCATCCTGTTCACTTTTTTTTTTTTTTTTTGGAAAGAAAATTTATGCATTGTTTGCATCCTAATTTACTGCTATACCCATATTGCTATTGTTAACTGAAACTAAAATGTTTTTTGGTAATAAAATAAAATAATAAAATATTAGATGAAAAAAATAAACTTAAAATGAAAATGAGCTTTCAAACTTAAATGAAAATGAAAAATTATGTCAAGTAACACATTTTGATTGTCAAATGCTAACTGAATCAAATATGTTTAAGCTGAAGTACTAAAAATACTAAATAATAAATAAAAAAAACTAAAATAAAAATGAAAGCTATATAGAAATATTTCAATAAAAAACGAATAAAATGACAAAACCTCATAACATTGCTAAAAATTTTAATTAATTCTGAAAAAATATTAAAGAAGTATTAATTAATGTTTTCGAAGTATTAATAAATACTATAATAGTGTATAAATAACACTAAAATGACACTGTTTTGCATGTCAGTTTATGTAAAAAATGGCTGAAGCTGAGTTTTA